CTTGTGACTGATAGTTTTAGTACCCGCCGTCGTGATCTCGCGACGGCGATTTTATATATGTGAAACTGCACTTGATTGCAGTTTTAACGATCTAACTTGCTGACGAAATTCGATCGTTCGTCAGCATTGTCGCGTAAAAAGTGAATTAAGTTTTAATTTTCGCTGCGCGATTTATCCGGTGTCTCGCATGAGCCGGAAACTGAATATTAGATATCTTAATCTGATATGCAATAGATATTTTCTTATATTTTATTAATATATATATATTTTATTATTAATGATTGGTTGTGGTTCTTTGGACCCACAACAGGCTGTAAGCACCGGTTTGACCAAAACTTGTTCCATTTGCCAAAACCTTTCAACAGCTTGCTCTAGACTAGTATGATTCACTGAAAGGTTACATTGTGTCGTTCCTTGTGTTGCAACATTACTTGGATATTTACCGTCTATTATCCATCCGAACATCGTTTTTTGAAGCAAAGGATGCTCTGAGGACTCCTTGATTTGTCTAATGCAAAGAATGCTCCAAAACATCTCAGCATCTAGCAATACATCCACATCGGTAGATCGGTAAAATTCCGGATCGGCCAAAGGTAAGTTTTGCAGAATCTTGAATCTGTGCTTGTCCATTGTGATGTTGGGCAAACGTTCTGTGATTTGTTTCACCACTAGACAATTCGTGATAATCTTGTATGCGTAGTGTCTCGAACTTATTTGCACTTGAACCATTTTTTGAATTTTACTGCATGCTTGATTGACTCCGACGATTGAAATATCAATTGATTTTGTCGTAAGGCCTAGATGTCGTACTAAATCCTCTGTTATAAAATTGGACTGAGACCCTGAGTCCAGGAGTGCGCGACATGTTTGCTTTACTCCTTGACAATCCTGCACATTTACTAATGCCGTTGATAAAAATACTTGTGATGACAAATTCGACATTGTAGTATGGGCCATCTTCAATGTAGATGAATTTACTTGCAAATTTGCTGATTGAAGTGAGGGAGCCGCAGCCGTCTCTTGCGACTCGTCCTTTGAAATATGCAATAACGTGTTATGTCGTTTACCACACGTCTTACAATTACTCGATTTACAGGTTTTTGCCGTATGCGATGAAGCCTTCATGCAGTTCCAGCATAGCTTGTACTCCTTGATACACTTCAGGCGATCCTCTGAAGAAAGCTTCAAAAATTGTTCACATGCATATATCTGATGATCTCCCTTGCATTTTTGACATGCTGCTGTTCTAGAGCTAACAAGCGATGAGACCTTTACTTGACTAGCCTTAGTTTGTAAATGTGATGAAGGCTGAACCTTTCTGTTGACTGCCTCGAGCATGTGGCACCTGTGCTCCAAAAATTCGGTTAGACGTTGCAAGGTAGGAATGTCAGTCTCAGTGATACTGTTTTCCCACTCCTTGTTGGTAGTGTGATCCAACTTACCGGTTATCAAATGTATGATAATATCGTCCCATGATTCTGTCGGACGGTCGATGGCCTTTAGCGCCCT